AGCATAAAAGGCCATTCTTCACATGCAAGTCCAGTTCAAGTATCACATGGCTTGGCCAGCCATGGTTGGTAGCCAAATAAAGTAGGTACATATGAGGACAATGCACACCAGCAATTTCCAGACAGCATTTTGGCTGTTGAATGGCCTCCTGACATGTGGCAGTCCAGTTCCATGGTGTCTCCGTCTCTAGTAACTGCCTGAGGGAAGGACTGATGGTGTAGTGGGCCTATCAAGGACAGTTCTGGGAGATCCAGGATGGCATGTGAAGGCCCAATAAGTTTATGGCATTTCTTGTCAATGAGTGTCAGGTTGTGTTGGTTCATTGTAGTGAACATCTGCCTTCTGAGCTTGTCATGTGTGGTTGCATCCTCCCCATACACCATAACTGTCACCAAGTCAAGATATACGGCAACTCCAGGGAAGACAGCCAGGATGGTGGACATGATTGTCTGGAAGACGCAATGAGCCAGCTCAACCTAAACAGGATAAGAGTGCACCAGAACATCCCAATGTGCATCAGAAATGCAGTGAGCCAGCAGAAGGTCATGTTGGATTCAGGCAGACATATTAAACTAGCAATGAATCAAAGCTCACTTCTAAATGATAAGGAGGTGACTTAAGAGCCCAATCCTGGAGGTGCAAGTTATACCACAGTGGGGGCAAGTTGTAGAGCTAGGGAGAGGGTGTCAGAGTCCAGGGTTAGATTATCTTTCCTGTTGTTGGAGCCTCCCAGTTGCCTCATTGATCCTCAGAGGCTTGTGACTTGGTGTTGCCATGCCAAGCAGTCTGCTGCCTTTTTATATATCCAGACAAAGGTGTTTGAGTGTATATGGTGGGCATATTGAATTCCTAACATAGTTGAAGTACACAAACATTTTCTTGAGTACAGGTTATAAGTACAGTACACAAATCGGACATTTCTCATTTAAAACGTGTATATATACAGGTAATTAAACCACCATTTAATAGTAATGTGGCAGCCATATTGGATTTTGGACACCATATTGGATTTGGAGTCAAATCTAGGGGGGCCCCCTAATGTATTTCCAAGAGTAGGGGCTAAACATATCAAATCCACAGAGGAACCTTTGGCTGGAAAAAAAGACAGTTTTCAGTGTCTGGGCCCACTTGTCTTAGAGCTGATTACACTAGCCACAACATAAAAAAATGTTTTTACTGTATGCATTTTTGTCAAGCAGGCCCAAGTGAAGTTAACATTCATCATAATTACTCATAGTTTATATTTTCATGCTATTGTATCTGTGTGTTTACAGGTCTATATTTCCAAGATGCATTAAGATATGCCAATGTTGTTTGTTTGTGTATGTAGGGCATTCAATTGACTACTTGTATTCTGCATTTTGGGTTGAGCTTATGTGGCCAAGCCCCCACTCCAGCAGCCAAACATTATTCTGCACTGTTTGAGTTAAGGGGGTGTGTCACAATATCTATCAATTTAACCACCTCTCCAGTAAAATATGTTTATACAACCATCCAATTCATACATGAGAGACCTTAGTGATATGGACAAATATGGTTGTGCTTTGTTATACCTCGGGGTGGGGGTATATCAAAAACTAAAGCCCTTTTTGAGGATTGGCCACAAGCCTATGAGTTACTGCATAAAGCATGTTACTTCCAGAAATAGAATATTGACTCAATCCATGATTACCACGCCTCATTTGACCCTCTTCACAAAGCAGCTTCAGCATAATTTGTTTGCAATTATCCCATGTTCAAAACTCACTGCCGTCTGAGAGATACTGTACAATCAGATTATGAATGCGTTGACTCACTCACTTTCCTTTAATAAAATATAGTTATTTTAGCTGAAGACTAGTCATATTGAAACTGAATGATTTTACTATTATGGACACAACTAGGTCCAGCAGTAACCCACAAGGCTAGAAGACAAAACAGTAGGATACAACCTTACACCGATACCAGACCGAAACTAAACTTGTTCGTGCACCTATCAAACAAGCTGCAATGACAAGCAGAACTGGGATGGCTGGCGCTCGAGGCACGATTTCTTCCTGAACACTTGTCATTACACCTGCATTGAAATACATGACATCCCAGCAGGAAACTGGCTACAATGGCGAATTCTACAATTAAATCCTTTATAGATGTGGCGGCCCAAAAGGTTGCCAAAGGAATTACGCAACAAGAAATTGACCTGGATAGGAGAAAGAAGTGTATATACACAAAATAAATTACTGTACAAAACACTCACCTTAGAATATAACTCGTTCACGGACATGGTCCAACAACAAGCGCACTCTCTCCAACACTATCAACGAAACCTGAAAAGTAACTGCGCCGTTTTATAAATGACAATATCTCATAATTGTTGATAGTCCCATAAAGTGTTTTTCATCTAATTAGAAGTTTAATTTGTCGTCATATTCCCGAGTGTCGTCGTCCAGAGTTGAGTTAAATATGTTAGCCACTTCCGACCCTTTCCTGGTCACGGACGGCAGGTGTCTTCCCGTGGATGAGTTGCAGAACAACTCAGTTTTGCTTGATCCCCCTTATATTACTCAAAAATGAAAAACGCCAACAAATGACGACTGGATATGGGTAGCCAGCCCCAGTGGGTTATAAATGCAAATACATACACTAGAAATAGTTTAACAATAGCTTCCGTTTAGTTCCTCGCCGTCGTATCCCATGGACTGGCAATGGCTCAGACTGTACGGCACGAGACCCCATCTGGCTCATCAGGGCACTACAATTGATTCCACCCTCTAAATTAGAACGACCATAAACAGTTGGGGTACCATGGTGGACTGTGGGGGGGTTGATCCCATTATGGGTTTAGGTCATAATGTTAAATTTAAGACTTCTAATATAGGCCTATGTGTAATGAAATTAATGCAACTTTTTGCTCCCCCCACAAAATCTTTCTGAATAGCAAAGGTATGGAGAATTAATTACTATGATTTCCTGAACTCAGTGGACCTAGTAGCCTAGTTCAAGGCAAGCATTAACAAGTCAGAGTGTTATCTTTGATTGTAGTAGTACAATCTGTGACAGGAACTAGGCTGGTACCTGAAGCATATAAAAATGTTGTACTTCAATTTGAAGTTTTATGTCCATGACAGCTGCAAGGTTACAATATTTGGGGAATTTAGACTTTATAAAAGACAGCATCATTTATACATCCTGTTCCGCATTTAGTCCCACTATGATCAACAATATCACAAAATACAACATGCACTGTAGGTCTAGAGCACTAGTATGTTACCTTGCAGTAAAGTACATAGTCAATCTTCCCCTCTTGTCTCTTCATTATGGTGTTATGTTCCTTCACTTGCCTTTTCATTATGGTGTTATAGTCCTTAGATACAGTATGTAGTAGAATGTTCTGCTACTCTATTCAGAGGTAGCTGTGATTATTCCATGTTCCAGATCATACTGTTATCAAGACATCATTGTCAGTAGGCTATTTCAAGACTGCCTGAGCAGAAGACAGAACAAAAAAACTCCATTCCAATATCAGGCCATGACTCCACTCCCAAACCACTCCTTCTGCAGGTATGGGATGTTGATTGACTTCACCTACCAGGCTGCTATATGGAATCTGAAAAGTAGGCAGGCACAGTCAAAATACATTCCACCCATTAAAATTATTAAAGAGAACAGAGATCACAGATGGAACAGGTCACAAGGAAAATGACTAGTAATGTGTTATTTGCTAATGTGGTTTACAAATGTCAATCCATGCCTTGTACAAGAATACACAATTATTTTTCAACATTCTACAATTTGTACTGTATACATTCTACTGAAGTTCACATTGAACTACAGTAGAATGAATAACTAGTACTGATAAGGAAAAGGGTTTGTGTTATTATGAAATAGGCCTAAAACAGTCAGTTACAAAGAGGATAGACATTACTCAGTGCTTGTGAAATATTTTCCACAGAAATCCATTTGGAGAGTTGTGTATGCTCATTCCACAGCAACAGCAGGTGGTCCTAATGTTGGGGCTAACACCATGGGTTGCTTTGGGAAATGACACTGAGATAATAGAACACAATGCTTTGACATGCCGCTAACAGCCTGTTCTGGTAATTCAGTCAGACTAACCACTGAAGTCCTATCATCTGCTCAACTGCCTACTGTTATGCATCATGGGCTATCATAAAAGGTATGTTCCATGTGATGAGGCTAAGCATAATAGACTTAATGGCAGTATGGCACAAACAAAAAAAAACTCCAGTTAGTCGAGTTGGGTGATACAATAAGCTTTTAGTCCAATTCTTATTTCTGGCACCACTACCTCATGCCTTATTTAACATGCTAATTACAGGCACATCTGATTTTTGCTTGGCAGATTTATATAGCACATGATGCATTATCTTAAATGTCACACACACTTTCACATTCTACAATAGTTTTTCTTGTACCTTTCTCTGCCTTCACTTGTAACTATATCCAGAGAAAGCAACTTAAGCTCATGACACACAATGTATTTCACAGACTTTATCCCTGTATTACCCAACAATGTTATGCTTGCCATCACGTGAGATTACATTCCAGTGAAATGCAATCCAGACAGACACTGCTTTCTTCATGTGTATGCAGGCAGGCCTCTGCCTCCACAGTAATATTATGCAATTGCAAATTGACTTATCCTTAAATAGGTCAATTTAATATACCAACAATGTGCTCAAAAAGAGTTCCTCAAATTGAACTGAAAAAAATGAATTCACAGCGCTACCTACTGAACAAAATATGAACAGCTATATTCCTGGGAAAATCCTCCATCAATTTATGCAATATAGCACTCTGCCAAGGAGCAAAATAGAAACATGTCCTGAACTCAGCATTATGATTAAACTTTTTTTATTTGCATTTAATATCCATTAGCCATTTTCTGAGAAACTTGGACAGCTAATTTTCGATTTGTCTTAAGAGGATTACACATAGAGCACTGGTCGGAGATGTGTGTTTGTGAGGTAAAACAGGGTTAGGCATGTGTTCGTGTGGGTGTATGATTGTTAGAGATTAGTGTGTATGATTGTTAGAGATTAGTGTTTGTGTACGTTGGTTGAATTATGAAAGTACGTGTTCCCTGCCGAACCAGGCCATAAATGCATTTGCTTTACTTCACATGCTAGGATACTCCAAGCTAAACTGTCCCTGAGGGTTAGTGGAAGAGGTTCTCCTGAAGGGGTGGACAGCCCTGGTGTGTGAGGTAGGCCTGGAGAGGATCTCCTGCATCTTCCTGTTGTACTGCTCCTGGTAGACAAGGCCCTGCTGGTGCTCCTGCTCTGTCTGAGACCTCCCCTCATCACGCAACTGCTGCTGGTACATCATCTGGGCCAGCAGGTCTGCCTGGAACTCCTGACAGCCCTGTCTCACACTGGGAGAGGAAAGCAGAGATATTTATTAATTGTGAAGACTTCTGCTGTGTGTGAAAGAAGGTACAATTCCTCTCACAGAATGTGTATTCCTGTGAGAGGACGCATATCAGAATATTTGATCAGACTATGCATACCGAGTTTTCTCTTCCTCATCCAGCAGTTTGTTCTCCTGTATGGTTTTGTTTAGCTCGTCTCTCTCCTCAGCCAGCTGAGCCTGTTTCTGCTTGTTCAAATCCACTAAAGAAGAAGCACAAATACACAAGCACACACACCATGAGACCACATCCCATAACAGTATCTCATGCCCAAGTGACAGATATGCTTCCCTCTCCTCCGCTTTCTTACATTTCTCCTGGATCTGCAGGCGGCGTGTGTCCATCACATCCTTCATCAGCCTATCCCTGGCCTGTTTCTCTTTGTGACACTGCTCTGCCCTCCGGGTCCAGGTCTGCTTTAGCTCCGCCTCGATCAGCTGCTCTGTCTCCACCTCCTGTCTCTTCTGCTCCTCAAGCTGATCGCCCAGGTACTGCTGGTACCTACTCTGCTCCTCTCGCAGCTCAAGCTGTGAAACACACACACACACACTCAGTCAGTTCTCCTCTGCCTCTTTACATTTCATAAGATGTATTTTTGTGTGCCAAACAGAGTGACAATGTGGTAATTTAACATGCTAATACGACTCCACTTTCCCACCTTCCTCGTGACCTTGCCCTGTTTCTCATCTCTCTCCTCCGTCAGCAGCTGCTCCAGGATGCTCATGTCCAGCGCCAGCTCATCCTGCTGCTCCCTGGCCTGGCGCTTCATCTTCAGCCTCAGAGAGTGGTCCAGCAGCCTGCGTCGGCTCTCCTGACCTTGGAGCTTCTGACGGCGCTCTCTCTGCTCCACCAGACGCAGCATCTCTCTCTGCTCCCTCTGGGGGACACACAGAGGAAAAACAGAGGGCTCAATTAGTGATCACAAAGCAGAAACCCACTTAGATACAGAGAGAAACATCTCAGCTATAGGCTGAATTAGCCTACCAGTAGCTGGGCCTCCTCCTCTTTGAGCTGCTTGGCCTGTTCTCTCTGCTGCTCTGCAGCCTCCATCTGAACACGCAGGTAGGCCAGCTGCTGCAGGTTACTCTCGCGTTGCCTCTGTGCCTCCTGGCCCTCCCGCTCCTCCTTGGCTCGCCGGTCGCTCTCCCACAGATGAGCAAAGAGCTGCTCCTCCTCCTCTTTCTGCCGCTGCGCCACCAGCCGTGTACGTAGCTGCGCAGCCCGCTCAGTGCAAATTTCGTCCTGCCTGCGTCGAGTCTGTTCAGCCCGGAGCTCCTCACTCTGCTCTCTGAAATTGTTCCATTTAAAAATCTATTTGTATAGAGGTTTGAACACACATATAGAAAAGAAAGCTGCAACATTGTCTAGTAGAAACTCCCTTTAGGTGTTTTCTCTACCTGAATAGCTGTTCAAGCTTGTCTTCAACCACACTTAGCCTTTCACTCTCCCTCCTCTCTCGCAGTAACTTGGCTCTCTCTCGCATCTTGGCTTGTTTCTCCAGCACTGTCTCCTTCTTGGTCTCCATTTCTCTCAGGAGTTCCTTCTCCTCTGCCTCCAACATATCGTGCAGTCTAAGGGAGACAGGGGTGATAGACAGACATGGAGCAATTGAAATACCTCTATAAAAAAAAAATGATCAGCTGTTATGGGAACTCAACCAAAAGATTTGTCACAGACCTCTCCCTCCTCTCATCAATGCTCATCTGATACTGCCCCATGGCATCTTTGACCCGTCTCTCAATGGTTCCCAACACAATGCGCTGGTCAGAGTTCTTCTCCCAGCGCGTCTTAAGGTCACAGGTGTTCTGGTACTTGGTGAACTCCAACACCTTGTCCCGGGCCTCCTCCTGTTTCCTTCTCTCCAGGATGAGGTAGTCTGGAGGCCTGGATGATGGGAACCTCGCCCTCTGGAAAATGTTGGTGAAGGTTTAGTAATTATGTTTATGAGGGGCAGCAGTTTCTCCTGACCAAGTGACCTGGCCAAGGGAAACACCAGGCCCTAGTTATTTGCTTTAACTAAAACATTGTACAGAACTGTCAGACAGGAATCTCTCTGGCTACAGTACAACTAGGGGCTAGTTTTCCAACCCAGTTCAATTGGGGTCAGGAAAAAAACATTTAAAAAAATAATTGCTAGATATGCTTACTCTCTAATTTTACAAAAAAATAAATTTGTTTAGCTTTGTACAACATGTAGCTAAGCTTATTAACGTTAGCTAGCTAGCTAACTAGTTTACGGTAGGTTTCTTACTAGCTAGGATACTAACGTTAACTAGCGTTTGTACTGAACTTACCACAGCCACTGAATGAGGTGTTGGTCCCGTAAACTCGCGACATTGCGGCTTATTTCTAGTCTGACTGGCCAACATATTTGGATACAAAACAAGCTTCTTCCAGCCAGATACTTCTATTTGTCCTGCATTCCGTCAAGTTTCCCAACTGTTTCACATGGACCTTGACGAGGAGTCTCTCGGCGATTTTGTTGACGGAACTAGTAAAATGTTACCATGACAACTACAAAACATGCTGCAGGAGTGAACCATTAGAAGTGGGCAGGAGAACATTCCCTGATCTCGAGAGACCCCTGCTGGAGGCTTACGCATTTGCTCATGCTGTATCTATCAAAACATATTTTCACTGTCATCTAAATATTTCACATAAAGCAACATATCAAGTCAGCAGAGAGAAGTGCATTTAAATAAATACAATTACAGCAGTTCATTCTTTCTGTTTGATAAGCCACTTTTATTTCAGGGAGCAGTGCAATCATAGCCCAATCAAAATCTAATTGGTCTACTCAGGTGTGTTAGTGCTGGGCTGGAACAGAAATATGCATTGACTGTATGTTCTGAATTCATGAATCGGATAGCAAGAAGTAAGTGGAGCTGATGGAAATGGGGCTGCCCAGAAGCTCTACCCCTGGAGAGCCTGCTTCTATGTGACACTGGGACTTGTAACCCCAGGAGTCCAGGGCACATAAGACATGTCAATGTGTAGTTCAGGGTCAGGACAGGAGGGAGAGTTCATATCCGGCTCATGTCCCACAGACTGTCCCATATCTAAACCAGCCTGTACTTCTAGGTTGTATGAGAGGTTCTGGATTGCTGTGCCTGAGAGTTGAGAGGATGGCGACCCCATTGAGTGAGGAGAGGAGAGGGTGGAGTATCCTGGAGTGGTCTTGCTCAGGAGCTGGTTGCAGTATCCATGCAGAGCTGGGACATCTGAGTTTGAGTTGGTTAAGGCACCCTTCTCCTGGTTTCCAGCATTGTTATCTGGTACAGCTTCTCCAGACTGCTCTCGGTTACCCACTATATCAATCTCACTAGGTTGACATGGATCCACATAGAGAATTTGGCGGCCATGGTCCTTCCGGAAAACAAGAAAAACACTAACATCAGGATATACTGTACCTGCAGCAAGTACTGCATTCTAGTCTAGGGTGCTTATATGCAAAAATAAGATGGAGTGGGACTGAGGACCTACCAGTGGTGTCAACCATTCCTCCTTCCACACTGGCTTTGGAATTTTAGGATACAGGTTCTCTTTCACACTGTTGACATTAAGAAAATAAATGGTTGATAAAACAGCGATATGGACAGGTCCTGGAAAAAATAGCAACCAATGGAGTGGGGTGGGCACTGTCTTTGTAACAGCATTTTATGACATGACAAACATATCAAAAACATTTTTTAAGAGCAGCTTTTTTCCATCTTCGTAACATTGCAAAAATCAGAAACGTTTGGTCCAAAAATGATGCAGAAAAGCAAATCCATGCTTTTGTCACTTCAAGATTAGACTGCTGTGAGACCAGGCTGTACTGAAATGCTCTACTCTCCGGGCAAGCAGCTACCCTTCTGGTCATCTATGAACATCTTGAAGATCAATCTTACCTAAATGGCCATGTACTCTTATAATCCTGCAACATTATTTAGTTAAAATATAATTTGATCTCTGAGAAATTTTGCTAATTGATTGCATCCAAATTGGCCATTTTAATTTATAGGATTCATATAATATTAATTCAATATAGTACCTAACATCATATTTGGACCAAACTTTTTTCTAACAATGAGATCTACATGAGGAATCCAAAGGAATGGTCAAAAGTCACCTACAGACACCCCACGCCAATACCACCCCAATGGGGTATGCTACAACACCGTACGGGACACGCTCATGCCACATGCCCTGGAAGAGATGGAAGCCAAACTGCAAGACCTACTGCAAAATGGTGATGGGCTCGTTCTGTCAGCGGACATTTGGACCAGTAGAAGAGGGCACAGCTTCCTTGGCATCGTGGCCAGTTTCATTGATGGGACGTTCCGGGGGCACACGGTTTTGTTGGGCTGTGAGCACATACAGGGGCACCATACCGCAGATCGTATTTACCAAAAATATGAAAGTGTACTGAAATATTGGAACGTGCAACGACGTGTGATTCGGGTCATCACTGACAGTGCCAGCAACATGATCAAGGCGTTTAACCTCCTCCCTGGCACTGAAGAGGAGGCGGAGGGTGAAGTGACCGCGGATGCCAGCAGCAGCGCAGAACATGAAGAGGAGGATGAGGGACCACCTGCGCCCTCGCAAGTCCATGTGGAAGTGATAACCACTAATGTAGAAACTATGATAAATCAGTACTTTACTGTGTCAAATTTACATCTGAGATGCCCCATTCACATGCTTCAGCTGGCGATCAAAGACGCCGTTAACGAGCACGACAACATGAATAGGCTGTTAGTGAATGTCGGGCACCTGGTGAAAAGTGTACGCAAGAGCACCCTGAACACAGAGGAAACCGACCAATTAGGTGTCCGCCCCACAAATGCCTGCGCCACTCGATGGTGCAGCCAGCTGGGGATGATACAGTCGTTCATCCGGTTGTTCCAAAAATACCCGTTATGGCAAAACAAACTCAAGTCTAATGTTGCTAACATCACCCTGAATCAAGTACGGCAGCTGACGCACCTTGTCAGTGTGCTGACACCACTGGCAGACCACACAGACAAAATGCAGAAGGAGCTGGGGAACCTGGGGATGATCCTCCCTGATGTCACAGAAATCAAATCCCTGCTCACCGATGACACTCACGCAGCACTTCCAATGGGCATCGCTGCTTTTGCAGAAACATTGGCAAACAACGTGTCAATACGCTATGGAATATACTATACTGATAAACATCTCATTTTAGCATCAGTGTTAGATCCCCGTTTCAAGACAGAATGGATAATCCGAGATGAGTCTGTATGCAACAAACTCGGGGAGATAAAGTAAGGCTGTGGTTTAAGCTAAAAGTGAAATACATGCAGATTATTTTCATTTTTTGGAGTGAGCGGGGGGCGATTTGAGTGGAGCGCGATGCAAACTGCGTTGAGCGCTGAGCGATAATGAGCGGACTGGCCTGATGTGGCTTTGAGCGGGGGGAGCGGAGGGGTGAACAGCTCCGTGAGCGAGGAGCTGAGATTCTCACCGCTCCGCTCCACTCCGCTCATATGCTCTGGTCCCATCCTACATCCTGATATGTAGGAATAGCACCATCTACTAGTCAGAACCGGGTAATATCAGAATATAGGAAGGGACAGAAACCTAACAACTTCAATTACTCATTTCTCTGAACAGCAAAAAATTTAAAAACATTACCAAATTCACTGAGAATACATTACATAGGATGAAGAAACAATACTCCGAGCCGCAGCTCCATACTACTAGTCAGACAGAGTACTGATACTGTATACTCGTTGTTGGGTTGGGATTGGTGTGGGGTGTGGTGTAGAGTGTCCATAGGTGGCTTTTGACCATTTATTTGGATTCCTCATGTCTTATTCATTGTTAGAAAAAAGTTTGGTCCAAATCAGATGTTAGGTACTATATTTATTGAATATTATATGAATCCTATAAATTAAAATGGCCAATTTGGGTGCAAACAATTAGAGATCTAATTATATTTGAACAAAATAATGTTGCAGAAATGCAAATCTTAGCTGTTTCTAACTACAGAAACGATTTCAGAACAATCTGAGATGGTTGGTGTCTTGGCTTGCTGAAATGACATGGAACGACCCACTTTGTAAAATAAATTGGATTGATTGATTGACTTGACAGTAAATATGTTCCTACCATTTCCAGTTTCTGTAGCATAAGATGGTGACCAGAGTGAGGAGACAGGCAGCTGAACCCAGGGAAATGATAATCACTGTGATCAACTGATCAGCTGTGGAATGGAGTCAGAAAGTTACCGCTTTTTACAAAGCAGCAGCAATACAAATACACAACTGAATAGGTCAGGACATACTCTGCAGGGTCATCTGGAGGAAGACAGGTGAAGACTCTCCGCCCTCCCCTACTGATGTGAGGGCCTTCACTGTGAATCTGTAGGTGCTGATAGGTAGGCCTGTCAGGTTCTTGGCCTCAGGCTCATCTGGCCATCATAGCAGACAATTATCAAAAAATAAGAAAATAAGGGGGAAAAAAGAAAGCAGCAAGATATTATTAAACTGAATCAATTTGTCACTGAATACTGTAAATCCTCTCTGGACATGTGTTTCATACCTGTAGTGACATTGAAAGCTTTCATGCTGGAAGGATGGGAAGTATCAAAGTAGTATATGATGTAACCATGAATGAACGCCGTCTGATTCTCTGGGGGAATACCAGTCCAGGAGATCAAAACCGTGTCCGAACCGTACTGTTCTACAGCCAACCTCTGAATCGGTCCTTTTGGAACTATGGAGCAAAGATAGAGATGGATGGTCAAATACTATAGCAAGAGGAAAGTAAATAAAGAATTCTGGATTTAATAATTAAGTCAGAAAAGTGGATCCTTACGGCACTCTTTTACATAGCCCTCCCTTCTCTCCCTTAGCTCTGGGGCCCCTGGAGTACAGGCATAGATGGAGAGTGTGTACCTCACCCCCTCTTCAAAGCTAGCTGGGTGGAGAAACCGGGACAAGGGCATGAAGGTTTACATATTTTTCACGAACCGAACTCCAAAGGTATTACAATAATGAATAAAAAGCATTTACCTTGTGACATGGTGTTTGAGCAATTTCACCCTGACCTGGGTTCAAATACTATTTCAAATATCTCAATTACTTTCACATACATTTCAAAGTAAGTATTCAGATATTTTTTTTATTTGAAAAGACAAGTAGTTGAATATTGCAATGTATCTGGAAATACACAAATACACTGACTCAAAAACACTCCCATGCATTTAACCCAGGTATTAAAAAATAGTATATAAAATAAGTACTTGAAAAATACATAAATAAAGGGAACACTTAAACAACACAATGTAACTCCAAGTCAATCACACTTCTGTGAAATCAAACTGTCCACTTAGGAAGCAACACTGATTGACAATAAATTTCACATGCTGTTGTGTAAATGGAATAGACAACAGGTGGAAATTATAGGCAATTAGCAAGACACCCCCAATAAAGGACTGGTTTTGCAGGTGGTGACCACAGACCACTTCTCAGTTCCTATGCTTCCTGGCTGATGTTTTGGTCACTTTTGAATGCTGGCGGTGCTTTCACTCTAGTGGTAGCATGTGACGGAGTCTACAACCCACACAAGTGGCTCAGGTAGTGCAGCTCATCCAGGATGGCACATCAATGTGAGCTGTGGCAAGAAGGTTTGCTGTGTCTGTCAGCGTAGTGTCCAGAGCATGGAGGCGCTACCAGGAGACAGGCCAGTACATCAGGAGACGTGGAGGAGGCCGTATGAGGGCAACAACCCAGCAGCAGGACTGCTACCTCCGCCTTTGTGCAAGGAGGAGCAGGAGGAGCACTGCCAGAGCCCTGCAAAATGACCTCCAGCAGGCCACAAATGTGCATGTGTCTGCTCAAACGGTCAGAAACAGACTCCATGAGGGTGGTATGAGGGCCTGACGTCCACAGGTGGGGGTTGTGCTTACAGCCCAACACCGTGCAGGACGTTTGGCATTTGCCAGAGAACACCAAGATTGGCAAATTCACCACTGGCGCCCTGTGCTCTTCACAGATGAAAGCAGGTTCACACTGAGTACGTGACAGACGTGACAGAGTCTGGAGACGCCATGGAGAACGTTCTGCTGCCTGCAACATCCTCCAGCATGACCGGTTTGGCGGTGGGTCAGTCATGGTGTGGGGTGACATTTCTTTGGGGGGGCCGCACAGCCCTCCATGTGCTCGCCAGAGGTAGCCTGACTGCCATTAGGTACCGAGATGAGATCCTCAGACCCCTTGTGAGACCATATGCTGGTGCGGTTGGCCCTGGGTTCCTCCTAATGCAAGACAATGCTAGACCTCATGTGGCTGGAGTGTGTCAGCAGTTCCTGCAAGAGGAAGGCATTGATGCTATGGACTGGCCCGCCCGTTCCCCAGACCTGAATCCAATTGAGCACATCTGGGACATCATGTCTCGCTCCATCCACCAACGCCACGTTGCAACACAGACTGTCCAGGAGTTGGCGGATGCTTTAGTCCAGGTCTGGGAGGAGATCCCTCAGGAGACCATCCACCACCTCATCAGGAGCATGCCCAGGCGTTGTAGGGAGGTCATACAGGCATGTGGAGGCCACACACACTACTGAGCCTCATTTTGACTTGTTTTAAGGACATTACATCAAAGTTGGATCAGCCTGTAGTGTGGTTTTCCACTTTAATTTTGAGGGTGACTCCAAATCCAGACCTCCATGGGTTGATAAATTTGATTTCCATTGATCATTTTTTTGTGATTTTGTTGTCAGCACATTCAACTATATAAAGAAAAAAGTATTTAATAAGATTATTTCATTCATTCAGATCTAGGATGTGTTATTTTAGTGTTCCCTTTATTTTTTTGAGCAGTGTACTTTCAAATACTTCCAATAGAAGTAGTTGATTCGGGAGACATTATTTGAAAATACACAGGAAATAAGTATTTAAATAACAAACAATCTAATACACACGTGTTTGAACCCAGGTCTGATTTCAACACACTATCCCCTTTCTAAGGTTCATCAAAGACTTGCCTTCTTACCTGATTGGATTCTGGCCTTGGTTATACCAGTTGGTACCTTCACCCAACCCACTCTGCATTTACTATGTGTGGGACACCAGTCCACCACGTAGCCACAGCTAGCATTGGGGCTAGCGGACCAGGATAGGTCAAACCCACCATCACTGCCAACAATTTTCATGGAGCTTTTAATTCTGTGAGGAAGCCTGGGAATAATGATGATCGAGGGAGGGGAGCTGCCAGCAGAGTTTCTGGCTGTAACTGTGACCCTATGCCCCTCATTGGTGGATCGATCACTGAGGAGAAAGTAATTCTGAGGTGGATGGACAATTGTCTTCTGCCTTCCCCAGGTCACCTCAGAGTCCTTGATCTGCCCATGACTCTGGTTCACTGTAAGGGGCTAAAGAGGAAGGGATGAATATCATAATCAATTTGATATAATTAATGTCTAATTCATGTCTTGATTATCAGCCCAGTCTCCTAATGTGCTATACTCAAGCAATGAGGCCAGAGGGGGTGTGGTATATGGCCAATATACCACGGCTAAGGGCTGTTCTTACGCACGACGCAAAGCGGAGTGCCTGGATACAGCCCTTAGCCGTGGTATATTGGCCATATACAGTTGAAGTCAGAAGTTTACATACACCTTAGACAAATACATTTAAACTCTGTTTTTCACAATTCCTGACATTTAATCCTAGTTAAAATTCCCTGTCTTAGGTCAGTTAGGATCACCACTTTATTTTAAGAATGTGAAATGTCAGAATAATAGTAGAGAGAATGATTTATTTCAGCTTTTATTTCTTTCATCGCATTCCCAGTGGGTCAGAAGTTTACATACACTCAGTTAGTATTTGCTAGCATTGCCTTTAAATTGTTTAACTTGGGTCAAACATTTCAGGTAGCCTTCCACAAGCTTCCCACAATAAGTTGGGTGAATTTTGGCCCATTCCTCCTCACAGAGCTGGTGTAACTGAGTCAGGTTTGTATGCCTCCTTGCTTGCACACGCTTTTTCAGTTCTGCCCACAAACTTTCTATAGGATTGAAGTCAAGGCTTTGTGATGACCACTCCAATACCTTGACTTTGTTGTCCTTAAGCCATTTTGCCACAACTTTGGAAGTATGCTTGGGGTCATTGTCCATTTGGAAGACCCATTTGCAACCAAGCTTTAACTTCTTGACTGATGTCTTGAGATGTTGCCTCAATATATCCACATCATTTTTCTTCCTCATGATGCCATCTATTTTGTGAAGTGCACCAGTCCCTCCTGCAGTAAAGCACCCCCACAGCACTTTTCGCACCGAAGTACATTAATCTCTAGGAGACAGAACGTGTCTCCTTCCTGAGTGTTATGACGGCTGCGTGGTCCCATGGTGTTTATACTTGCGTACTATTGTTTGTACAGATGAACGTGGTACCTTCAGGCGTTTGGAAATTGCTCCCAAGGATGAACCAGACTTGTGGAGGTCTACAATTTATTTTCCGAGGTCTTGGCTGATTTCTTTAGATTTTCCCATGATGTCAAGCAAAGAGGCACTGAGTTTGAAGGTAGGCCTTGAAATACATCCACAGGTACACCTCCAATTGAGTCAAATGATGTCAATTAGCCTATCAGAAGCTTCTAAAGCCATCACATCATTTTCTGGAATTTCCCAAGCTGTTTAAAGGCACAGTCAACTTAGTGTATGTAAACTTCTGACCCACTGGAATTGTGATCCAGTGAATTATAAGTGAAATAATCTGTCAATAAACAATTGTTGGAAAAATTACTTGTGTCATGCACAAAGTAGATGTCCTAACCGACTTTCCAAAACTATAGTTCGTTAACAAGAAATTTGTGGAGTGGTTGGACTCCAACCTAAGTGTATGTAAACTTCCGACTTCAACTGTACCACAAACCCCTGAGGTGCCTTTTTGCTATTATAAACTGGTTACAAACGTAAAAATAAATGTTTTGTCATACCCGTGGTATACAGTCTGACATACCACGGCTGTCAGCCAATCAGCATTCAGGGCTTGAACCACCCAGTTTATAATGTAGTATGACCAATAGCACATAATGTATACTATATAGTGTGCACATAATTTTCAAAACTTACTTTCCATAGTATAATGGTTTGGTTCCCTTCAATCTGCATCCATACATCTAACGCTTCAGGAGCTGGGACAAAAATAACACATGATGACATCATAACAATTGTGAACTTTATGTAATCAAATACAATGCACACTGCAATCTTTACACATACTGTGTGTGTGTGTGTTTGATCTGTCTTTCTTTTTACCCATATTTAAAAAAGGTGTGTCCATGTAGCTGCATATGGATTGGATACTCACTGTCCTCTTTGGTTTTGAAGGTGCTACCTCTGCTCCAGTCGCCCCATTTCCAGAAGTGCTGTTTCAATCCACAATGCACCTGCACTGTGTATGTCTGGGCAGGTGCTAGGCCATGTAAAACTACTGACCTAAGACCTATGCCAGAATATTTCCTCTGTGAATAGAGTGTAAATGGGCTTAGCATTAGTACTGCCTAGTTAATAATTATATTGTCCATTGTACTGTAGGTGTCCTACTGTAACTTACCATGTCTATGTGCCCACTATGGTTCAGCTGTACCTGGCAAACCATTAAAAGTACATTGTACTGCTGTCTTTCCCACTGCCACTGAACACTGGCATTTCTGGCATTCACATCTGAAGCCACCACTTCCATGGGAGCTAGTAAACGCACTGGAAGGTAGAACCACAACATACAATGGCCTTGTAAATCAATATACTAAGAGTAAGGAATAGATTCATATTGCAGTGTGTGAGGGTTTCTATCACACTACTGTACCTCTTTTCTTCAGGTCTGCTGTGTCTCTGAGCTCCAGTGTGCCGAGCGGGTTTCTGGCAGTCAATGTCCAATTCCTCTCCCCCTGATCCACTCGTACTGTTTGGTAGCAGTTTGAGACTGTTCCGTTTGGACAAGCTCTGAAAAATGCATGGACAGAGAATGTCACCTCCAGTGATTATTACACAATAATACTAACAATATCATGGCCTGGATAGTACTCTAGCCTGATAAAGACAGCTTGCTGTCGAACTGTTGGTGAATCAATTATTGCATCGGAGCTACTAGAGTGGCTTTTCCTTTCTTTGTTTGTTATTGTACTGTACTGTACCTTCCATTAAGGTGATAAAGGGTCTTCCTCTGTTTAGTCAGGTTGGTGGCCCTCCCTGTGTCCCAGTGACACTCCACTGACTCCAGGTCCCGGGTCTCACACACAAGGTTCCTGTCACCAGGGGGGTCTGGGGGGGAATGAGGTTTGAACACATAGAAATCCTATACAGTAATTCAATTATGAAGTGAATTAAGTGAATTATAGGATCTGTATGTTTGAACACATCTCATATCCATGATGATTACACTCGAATGATGCCGTAAACTGTACAGTATGGCAAGGAACTACAGAGTTGTTTAGCTGTTAGATGAGCTTAGATTGGTAAGAGGGAAGCTTAGAAGCAGTTTATACTTACATCCCACATAAACACAGGTGCCATACAGAGGTGAATTACAGTAGACATTGATGCAATTGGGCGGAGAGGGAGACTGCATGTGCACAACCATGGCATAGCTCTGGTCAATGATATGGGTGGTGTTCATTAGAATGTTGTTGTATTTCATGTATTTAAGTGTCTGCCCTGGCCCAAGAATACAGCAGAAAGTGAAGTTGCTATCGACTTGAACCACTCTGCTCCTTGGGAAAACCTGTGGATGTGATGATGACGCCATCCCTGTAGAAATAAATAAGGTTACTAATGTGAATGAACAACATCATATGTGTGTGTATGTGTGTGTGTGTGTTTGTGCATACTTGCCTGCGTGTGACTATGTGTGAATTTAAATATAAACACTAACCAGTGATGGTCTGTAGGGGGCTCCATTGACTGGTGTAGTTCTGGTATCGGGAGCGGAGCCTGACTGAGTGGGAGGTGCACTCTAGGGATAAAGCAGATGTCCAACTCCAGTGATATTTCCTGCCGACTTGGTCTGGTCTCACATCCACAGCTTCCTGAGGACAGCCACACCCACAACCAGTCACTCGTACTTTGTTTACTTCTATATAATACACTTGGAATAGTGTCCATAGTAGTAATGTGCGTAATTGATTTAACAAACACTCACACTGTGTACTTCAGTCATATTGTCTGCTAAGAGAACCTCCACATCATAAATCAGTTTGTCTGGTACTCTGGAGGAAGATGGGTCATCTTCCCATGTTACAGATATCCTCTGGTCTTTTAGGTCATATTTCACACTCACATTCTGAGGTCCAGAAAGCAGGTCACCTGGGGCTACATAGGTATAGCCTGTTACAGTATGCATGATGAAAATGCAATTCAACTTCACATACTGTACAGTCCTGTATCAATCAAAAATATTGATAAAATTATAACGTTTTGGACTTACCATCTTGACCATTTTGTTCTTGGAGGCTTGAGAGGTACAGTGAAGCCCATAGCAGGAAAACCAACATGATGTAACTCCCATAAAATATGCTGTGGTGAGGTGTTGGATTATAGTCAGCCTCAGTAGTCTCTGGTCGGGATAGTTGTTTGGTTTGCCCATAGACTGGTTGGTTGTTCAGCAACAAAACCGACGCGTGCGTAACTATGGGGCAAAACAGTTGGCTTAGATTGTTGACAACGAGTAAACTTTTCGTCTCCAATGTTTATTGAAAACATAAATACATTTGCACAATGAGCACTTGTTGTCTCTCAAATAGATACGTACAGTTGTTGGTTAGCTACCTAGCGAATTTGAGCCATTCTAGTATTGACATAAAATCTGTCAAAACACCTCAAAACAAGACATGGCATCAAGAACAAGCTGAAAAGAGTCACTTACAATTCCCCGCATGGCTGTTGGTAGCTATCTGGCCAGAATCACAACAACTCACGGACTTTTCTGCCCCATTGAAGCGTGCTCTTCGTTTTCGTGACGTTGTCAGCTAACCCACCTTCTGACACCAATGTAATGAAACAGGCAGGGAGCAGGACTCGAACCCTCAACCTTCTAGCCCGAAGGCTAGACAGCGCACCATCGACTGTGCCCCAAAATAATCCTCCCTTGGCAGAGTCGATTTCTGCGTTTATAAACCCTCTGCGTTTATAAACCCAGGGTTGTGTATCCTCTGAAAAAAATATGAAAGTGTGGTTCATTTAGGCTGTACTAAAAAGATACAGCTTGGCAAATCGTTGGGAACAGGAGTGGTGAGGAGTTGCTAGGGGAGGTATTTCTTGTAAAAGCAATGTGAAAAAAATATGGGTTTGGCAGATGTATATTTTTATCCAGGCTGACGTTCTTGCTAAATCGTTTAGTGAAAACATTATGCAATACAGGATATCATATCTGCCCTGAGAGTCATAGGACCAGACTGCTTTTTAGACATAAAGAGACCGTAGAGAAAGCGAAACACCCCACACCCTCATTTTTTCTGATCGGGGCGGTGCCACTCTGGTTGCCCCTGGCCAGGTTGGAGGAGCGGGAAGGAACATTGGCAGCGTTCCCCTGCTCAGATGTTGCATGCATCAACCAATGGTTGCGTGCTACGTCATCGACTGTGTCATCGACTGACAGATCGCTATAACATATGATTTGGTTAGCTGATCCTTAAAATACCTATCCAGATGTTGTACGATCTGGCAGTTGTAAGCGACACCTGGGCAGAGGAATGTGCCCATGATGTGGTTAGCTGATACTTAAAATACCTATCCAGGTGTTGTAAAATCAAATCAAATGTTATTGGTCACATACACATATTTAGCAGATGTTATTGTAGGTGTAGCGAAATGCTTGTGTTCCTAACTCCAACAGTGCAGTAGTATATAACAATTCACAACAATACACACAAATCTAAAAGGAAAATAAGGGAATTAAGAAATATATAAATATTAGATTGAGCAATGTCGGAGTGGCATTGACTATAATGCAGTAGAATAGAATACAGTATATACATATGAGATGAGTAAAGCAGTATGTAAACATTATTAAAGTGACTAGTGTTCCATTATTAAAGTGGCCATTGATTCCAAGTCTACATAGGGCAGCAGCCTCTAAGGTGCAGGGTAGCGTAACCGGGTGGAAGTCGGCTAGTGATGGCTATTTAACAGTCTGATGGCCTTGAGACAGAAGCTGTTTTTCAGTCTCTCGGTCCCAGCTTTGATGCACCTGTACTGACCTCGCCTTCTGGATGGTAGCGGGGTGAACAGGCCGTGGCTCGGGTGGTTGATGTCCTTGATGATCTTTTTGGCCTTCCTGTGACATCGGGTGCTGTAGGTGTACTGGAGGGCAGCCCGACAGGATGCTCTCAATGGTGCATCTGTAAAAGTTTGTGAGGGTTTTAGGGGCCAAGCCAAATTTCTTCAGCCTCCTTAGGTTGAAGAGGTGCTGTTGCGCCTTCTTCACCACACTGTCTGTGTGGGTGGACCATTTCAGATCGTCAGTGATGTGTACGCTGAGGAACTTGAAGCTTTCCACCTTCTCCACTGTGGTCCCGTCGATGTGGATAGGGGCTTGCTCCCTCTGCTGTTTCCTGAAGTCCACGATCAGCTCCTTGTTTTGTTGACGTTGAGTGAGAGGTTATTTTCCTGGCACCACCCTCCCAGGGCCCTCACCTCCTCCCTGTAGGCTGTCTCGTCATTGTTGGTAATCAGGCCTACTACTGTTGTGTCATCTGCAAACTTGATGATTGAGTTGGAGGCTTGCGTGGTCACGCAGTCATGGGTGAACAGGGAGTACAGGAAGGGGCTGAGTATGCACCATTGTGGGGCCCCTGTGTTGAGGATCAGTGAAGTGGAGGTGTTGTTTCCTACCTTCACCACCTGGGGGCGGCCCGTCAGGAAGTCCAGGACCCAGTTGCACAGGGCGGGGTTCAAACCCAGGGCCCCGAGCTTAATGATGAGCTTGGAGGGTACTATGGTGTTGAATGCTGAGCTATAGTCAATGAACAGCATTCTTACAGAGGTAGCTCAGTTGGTAGAGCATGGCGCTTGCAACGCCAGGGTTGTGGGTTCGATTCCCACGGGGGGCCAGTATGATTTTTTTATTTTTATGTATGCACTCACTAACTGTAAGTCGCTCTGGATAAGAGCATCTGCTAAATGACTAAACATTTAAAATGTATTCCTCTTGTCCAGATGGGATAGGGTAGTGTGCAGTGCAATGGCAATTGCATCATCTGTGGATCTATTGGGGCGGTAAGCAAATTGAAGTGGGTCTAGGGTGTCAGGTAAGGTAGAGGTGATATGATCCTTAACTAGCCTCTCAAAGCACTTCATGATGACAGAAGTGAGTGCTACGGGGCGATAGTCACTTAGTTCAGTTACCTTTGCTTTCTTGGGTACAGGAACAACGGTGGACATCTTGAAGCAAGTGGGGACAGCAGACTGAGATAGGGAGAGATTGAATATGTCTGTAAACACTCCAGCCAGCTGGTCTGCGCATGCTATGAGGACGTGGCTAGGGATGCTGTCTGGGCTGGCAGCCCAACGAGGGTTAACACACTTAAATGTCTTACGCACGTCAGCCACGGAGAAGGAGAGCCCACAGTCCTTGTTAGCGGGCCACGTCGGTGGCACTGTGTTATCCTCAAAGCGGGCGAAGAAGGTGTTTAGCTTGTCCGGAAGCAAGACGTCAGTGTCCACAAAGTGGCTGGTTTTCCCTTTGTAGTCCGTGATTGTCTGTAGACCCTGCCACATACAGTCAAAGTCAGAATTTTACGTACACTTAGGTTGGAGTCATTAAAACTTGTTTTTCAACCACTCCACACATGTCTTGTTAACAAACTATAGTTTTGGCAAGTCGGTTAGAACATCTACTTTCTGCATGACACAAGTAATTTTTTGAACAATTGTTTACAGACAGATTATTTCACTTATAATTCACTGTATCACAATTCCAGTGGGTCAGACGTCTAAATACACTAAATTGACTGTGCCTTTAAACAGCTTCCAAAAATTCCAGAAAACGATGTCATGGCATCATTTGAGTCAATTGGAGGTGTACCTGTGGATGTATTTTAAAGGCCTACCTCCAAACTCAGTGCCTCTTTGCTTGACATCATGGGAAAATCAAAAGAAATCAGCCAAGACCTCAGAAAAATTGCTCCTTGGGAGCAATTTCCAAACGCCTGAAGGTACCACGTTCATCTGTACAAACAATAGTATTCAAGTATAAACACCATGGGACCACGCAGCCATCATACCGCTCAGGAAGGAGACGCGTTCTGTCTCCTAGAGATTAACGTACTTTGGTGCAAAAAGTGCAAATCAATCCCAGAGCAACAGCAAAGGACCTTGTGAAGATGCTGGAGGAAACAGGTACAAAAGTATCTATATCCACAGTAAGACGAGTCCTATATCGATATACAGTGGGGAAAACAAGTATTTAGTCAGCCACCAATTGTGCAAGTTCTCCCACTTAAAAAGATGAGAGAGGCCTGTAATTTTCATCATAGGTACACGTCAACTATGACAGACAAATTGAGAAAATAAATTCCAGAAAATCACATTGTAGGATTTGTAATGAATTTATTTGCGAATTATGGTGGAAAATAAGTATTTGGTCACCTACAAACAAGCAAGATTTCTGGCTCTCACAGACCTGTAACTTCTTCTTTACGAGGCTCCTCTGTCCTCCACTCGTTACCTGTATTAATGGCACCTGTTTGAACTTGTTATCAGTATAAAAGACACCTGTCCACAACCTCAAACAGTCATACTCCAAACTCCACTATGGCCAAGAACAAAGAGCTGTCAAAGGACACCAGAAACAAAATTGTAGACCTGCACCAGGCTGGGAAGACTGAATCTGCAATAGGTAAGCAGCTTGGTTTGAAGAAATCAACTGTGGGAGCAATTATTAGGAAATGGAAGACATACAAGACCACTGATAATCTCCCTCGATCTGGGGCTCCACGCAAGATCTCACCCCGTGGGGTCAAAATGATCACAAGAACGGTGAGCAAAAATCCCAGAACCACACGGGGGGACCTAGTGAATGACCTGCAGAGAGCTGGGACCAAAGTAACAAAGCCTACCATCAGTAACACACTACGCCGCCAGGGACTCAAATCCTGCAGTGCCAGACGTGTCCCCCTGCATAAGCCAGTACATGTCCAGGCCCGTCTGAAGTTTGCTAGAGTGCATTTGGATGATCCAGAAGAGGATTGGGAGAATATCATATGGTCAGATGAAACCAAAATAGAACTTTTTGGTAAAAACTCAACTCGTCGTGTTTGGAGGACAAAGAATGCTGAGTTGCATCCAAAAAACACCATACCTACTGTGAAGCATGGGGGTGGAAACATCATGCTTTGGGGCTGTTTTTCTGCAAAGGGACCAGGACGACTGATCCGTGTAAAGGAAAGAATGAATGGGGCCATGTATCGTGAGATTTTGAGTGAAAACCTCCTTCCATCAGCAAGGGCATTGAAGATGAAACGTGGCTGGGTCTTTCAGCATGACAATGATCACAAACACACGGCTGGGCAACGAAGGAGTGGCTTCGTAAGAAGTATTTCAAGGTCCTGGAGTGGCCTAGCCAGTCTCCAGATCTCAACCCCATAGAAAATCTTTGGAGGGAGTTGAA